TTCCCATTGAGAAACTTCCGTTTCTTGCACTAGTGAGAAATACCATAATGTTAAAACACCTTATTATCCACTTTTTGCTCCGTTATCTGTTACTCAAGTGGTCACAAACAAAGGAAAATTTAAAACTTTTAGCTCTAAAAGTGGTTGCGGTTGCTTACTAGAGGTGGCCACTTACAAGAGGTTCCAAATTTATATAGTGATTCGACTTGAAAACTTTTGGTACATGTATTTTGGAAAACTGGTCGCTGAGCAGAGGTGGTTGCTTATGAGAGGTGGTTGCAACCAGAGGTTCAACTGTATGTAACCTTCTTTCCCAAAGGAAGTAATTATTACAAGGTCATGTACAGTACATGTCAATTTTTAGTTTAATAATCATTATTATACTGTTTTTTTTTTCCTTTGCAACAGCTCTCACTGCCCCCTGATCACATGACCGTTTTACTTTGTTTCATTTCATGCAGTTAGTATATCCATAATGTAATGTCCGTAACATAATGTCTGTAGCGTAATGTCCCTAATGTAATGTCCATGCCTTTGTACCAGCGATTCATAATACAGACAATTTACAACACCATAGTTTGTCAGCCCCTTCAAACTGAAAAAGGATTCTAGCTTAAAAAGAGATCTGGCTTTTACTTGCAGAGAAAAAAAAACCTCTTTTTGTTATGGACATTATATAATGCCCTTTACGGAAATGTTTTTCACGCCAATTCAACAAGAACACCAAATGTGGCAAAAAAAAATATCGAAAGACTATTTCCTATTGAGCTGAGTGAGTTTTTTATCCTGATGAGATAAATGTGTCCCAGTATTATAAGTAATTTGAAATCTGATGGCTTGCTAGCTACTTTTTCAGGGTTTTCATTGGTTGAAAATCAACAGCCTCTCTTTTCCGTTTACCACAGAACAAACTTTCAGCAATTTATTTCCTGAACATTTTAGGGTATATCCTCTTTCCAAATACGCATGATTGGGCTAGGAAAAATATCTTTGAAATTTTGACATTTTAGATGTTCTAAAAGGGAATTGCCCTTATACATAACAGAAAGATAAAAGATCTATAGAATGATGTGTACCTTGCTTTCTGCAGGAAATCAGCTTCAACTGTAATAGTTGACAGATACGATCCTTCCTCAAATCTATATGGAACAACTGAAAACAAATTATCTTAATTAGACAAAGAGTAATTTTCATCATTGAAGTTTGACTGATTAATTAATGCACCAAATACTATATTGTCCCCAAGACACATCTTAAACTGTTAGTCTCCATTGCAGGCATTTTGGGGTTGTCAAGCAAAATGGCTGCAAAGGAAACTATGCATACCGTCTATATGTTTTGCTCCAAATAATATTAGAACTGTTCATGCATAATTGTACATGTGGGTGAAAA